GATGGGGTCAAGCGGGCAGGTTGTTGGGCGGCCTGCAGTCACAAGTCGCAGGATTTTATCTGGAGAGAGAGGGGAGAAAGAAGTCAAAGCATAGGGTAGGGCAGTGTGAGCAGGACCAGCAGTGTCATTAGACTTAACAAACGAGGATCGGATGTCGTCAACCTTCTTTTCAAAGTGGTTGACGAAGTCATCCACAGAGAGAGAGGGGGGGGGGGGGGGGGGGATTCAGGAGGGAGGAAAATGTGGCAAAGAGCTTCCTAGGGTTAGAGGCAGATGCTTGGAATTTAGAGTGGTAGAAGGTGGCCTTAGCAGCAGAAACAGATGAAGAAAATGTAGAGAGGAGGGAGTGAAAAGATGCCAGGTCGGCAGGGAGTTTAGTTTTCTTCCATTTCCGCTCCGCTGCCTGGAGCTCTGTTCTGTGAGCTCGCAATGAGTCATCAAGCCACGGAGCTGGAGGGGAGGACCGAGCCGGCCGGGAGGATAGGGGACACAGAGAGTCAAAGGATGCAGAAAGGGAGGAGAGGAGGGTTGAGGAGGCAGAATCAGGAGATTGGAGGGAGAAGGATTGAGCAGAGGGAAGAGATGATAGGATGGAAGAGGAGAGAGTAGTGGGAGAGAGAGAGCGAAGGTTGCGGCGGCGCATTACCATCTGTGTAGGGGCAGAGTGAGTAGTGTGGGAGGAGAGTGAGAGAGAAAAGGAAACAAAGTAGTGGTCGGAGACATGGAGGGGAGTTGCAGTGAGATTAGTAGAGGAGCAGCATCTAGTGAAGATGAGGTCAAGCGTATTGCCTGCCTTGTGAGTAGGGGGGGACGGTGAGAGGGTGAGGTCAAAAGAGGAGAGGAGTGGAAAGAAGGAGGCAGAGAGAAATGAGTCAAATGTGGACATAGGGAGGTTGAAATCCCCCAAAACTGTGAGGGGTGAGCCATCCTCAGGGAAGGAACTTATCAAGGCGTCAAGCTCATTGATGAACTCTCCAAGGGAACCTGGAGGGCGATAGATGACAAGGATATTAAGCTTAAATGGGCTAGTGACTGTGACAGCATGGAATTCAAATGAGGAGATAGACAGATGGGTTAGGGGAAAAATTGAGAATGTCCACTTGGGAGAGATGAGGATTCCTGTACCACCACCCCTCTGACCAGATGCTCTCGGGGTATGCGAGAACACATGGTCAGACGAGGAGAGAGCAGTAGGAGTAGCAGTGTTTTCAGTGGTGATCCATGTTTCCGTCAGCGCCAGGAAGTCGAGGGACTGGAGGTTGGCATAGGCTGGGGGGAGGAGCACAAACCCACTGTCGCTGGACCAGACAGGACTGGCAAAAAGTGCTCTTCACTGACGAGTCGCGGTTTTCTCTCACCAGGGATGATGTCGGATTTGCGTTTATCGTCGAAGGAATGAGCATTACACGAGGCCTGTACTCTGGAGCGGGATTGATTTGGAGGTGGAGGGTCCGTCATGGTCTGGGGCGGTGTGTCACAGCATCATCGGACTGAGCTTGTTGTCATTGCAGGCAATCTCAACGCTGTGCGTTACAGGGAAGACATCCTCCCCCCTCATGTGGTACCCTTCCTGCAGGCTCATCCTGACATGACCCTCCAGCATGACAATGCCACCAGCCATACTGCTCGTTCTGTACGTGATTTCCTGCAAGACAGGATTGTCAGTGTTCTGCCATGGCCAGCGAAGAGCCCGGATCTCAAACCATTGAGCACGTCTGGGACCTGTTGGATCGGAGGGTGAGGGCTAGGGCCATTCCCCCCAGAAATGTCCGGGAACTTGCAGGTGCCTTGGTGGAAGAGTGGGGTAACATCTCACAGCAAGAACTGGCAAATCTGGTGCAGTCCATGAGGAGGAGATGCACTGCAGTACTTAATGCAGCTGGTGGCCACACCAGATACTGACTGTTACTTTTGATTTTGACCCCCCCCCTCCCTTTGTTCAGGGACACATTATTCAATTTCTGTTAGTCACATGTCTGTGGAACCTGTTCAGTTTATGTCTCAGTTGTTGAATCTTGTTATGTTCATACAAATATGTACACATGTTAAGTTTGCTGAAAATAAACGCAGTTGACAGTGAGAGGACATTTCTTTTTTTGCTGAGTTTATATTTATTGCGATTCAATACTGTGATTGTTTTACCATTCGATGATCCAAACATATTGCTCACTATGTCTGCTGCAGAGAGACAAGAGAGAGCTTTAGAAAATTAGTCATGGACATAAGTGTTGAAAACATGTTGGCTCACTATTTAAAAAGAAATGGAAAACAAGCTATAGGATAAAAAATACTGGCGTGTTGGCGCAGGTAAAGACGATTAGCGCTAATGAACGATACCTAGCGGTTTTTAAAATCGATACTTGGAGTGAAAGTATCAACATAATATCATCCAAAATAATATTGCGATATGTAACTGTATCGATTTTTCCCGTCATCACTACTAAATACTACACAATTTAAACACTTGCTCTCGTGTCCAGCCCGACACGTGTCAATATTGGAATATAAATTGCTGCGTCTCCTGTATTTATACTGATGCTAAATGTTTTATTCTATTATACGGAGACATTTACATTTTTAATTCTAATGTTGTGTTATTTCTTATTGTTGTTGCATTATCAAGAGGGAACCTGCAAGTAAGAATTTAGTTGGACGGTGTATACCATGTGACTCCTGTACATACGACTACTACAACTTGAAACATGAGTGTTCTCCATCTACAGTACCGTGACCTCAACATCCATCCCACCTTTTACCAGTCTTCTGACCTCAACATCCATCCCACCTTTTACCAGTCTTCTGACCTCAACATCCATCCCACCTTTTACCAGTCTTCTGACCTCAACATCCATCCCACCTTTTACCAGTCTTCTGACCTCAACATCCATCCCACCTTTTACCAGTCTTCTGACCTCAACATCCATCCCACCTTTTACCAGTCTTCTGACCTCAACATCCATCCCACCTTTTACCAGTCTTCTGACCTCAACATCCATCCCACCTTTTACCAGTCTTCTGACCTCAACATCCATCCCACCTTTTACCAGTCTACTGACCTCAACATCCATCCCACCTTTTACCAGTCTTCTGACCTCAACATCCATCCCACCTTTTACCAGTCTTCTGACCTCAACATCCATCCCACCTTTTACCAGTCTTCTGACCTCAACATCCATCCCACCTTTTACCAGTCTTCTGACCTCAACATCCATCCCACCTTTTACCAGTCTTCTGACCTCAACCACCAGGCTTCCCTTTATTTTCTTATAGAACCCAGCAGACAGAGAAAGAGGGATGTCCTCAGTTTAATCTAAACCCACCGCTAGGCTACCCTTGTCCTCTGCCTGGGAGATGGCCTCCACAATCCAATGGGAAAGACTCTGCTTAGAAACCCCGAGCTGGATTAGCGAAACAGACAAAAAACCGGTCACAACGTGGACATCCTTGTTCCTGTCCATATACGTGCATAACACAGGCCATTCAACCTCCGTGTTCACTGGAAGCAAACGGAGGAGGTGAGAAAGGGAAAGCTTGAAAGCCAGAGACCTGTAAGACAGACATAACCTACCCCTAACCATGTAAGACATAGGCATAACCTTGGGAGCAACTGCATTAGTACGTAACCTCCTGACGGACCATCTCCATGGTGGCCTAAATCATGTCCACCGGAGGAAATGCATAAAGCAGGGTCCGTGGCCACTGATACGCCAAAGCATCCGTTCCCAACGGAGCGCCCAGATCCCTCATTGAGAAGAATTGATGACAATGCGCGTTTTCTTGCGATGCGTAAGATCTACGCCTGCCCTGCCGAACCGGTCCCATATCTGGGCCACCACCGAGGGGTGCAGTCAGTCTCCACTCCGTAGAGATAGAAACCCACCTGGAAAGTAGATCAGAACCCACTTTGAGACATCTGGGAAGATACGTCGCCCTGAGCGACAAGAAATGTGCACTGCTCCATACGAGCATATAAACGGAACAGGTTTAGGAGAGAGAGAGACCGAGTACCTCCTTGCCTGTTGAAGTAGCCAACACCGTCCTGTTGTCGGACCTTACCAACACATGCTGGCCCTCCAGCATCGGAAGGAAACGCCTCAGCAAAACAGTCTGTAGCTCTAGGTAATTGACATGCAGCACCCGTTGCGCTGTTGACCAAATCCCTCTTTCCGAGTAGCCCACACACAGCACTCCAGTAAGGATGAGTCTGTTGTGACCACCCTGCAGGACACTACCCGGCCCATGACAACCTCCTGCAATAGCAGGTCTCTTCAAGGAGTCAACGCCCTCGGGCACAACGGGGATACCGTGAGCAACCGATGGCAGTTGCGAGATGCGTCAAGACGCGTAGCAATCACCCAGAGCTGAAACAGATGCATTAACAGAAGTCCCAGAGGCACCACAGCTATCATAGAGACCGTCAGACACAATAACAGCAGGCACACGTGAAAAAAGGCACCGAGTGCCCCAGCTGAACCCGTGCCAGAGAGAGCTGCAATGCTCTGTTGGGACAAAAACGCATGATTCAGAACCGAGTCCAAAACGAGACCCAGAAACTGAACGCACTGAGCCAGAGTCAAACAACTTTTCTTGTGATTCACTATGAACCCCAGAGACTGAATATGGGAAACCAGCGTGGCAGGGTAGAGCGCCACCTGTTCCCTCAACTCCACTAACAACCTGCCAATCATCCCGATAGGACAATACTCTCTGTACTTCTGATACGGGGACCACTTGAATAGCCTGCTTTTGAAGGAGAGAGGAAATCTCCTCTCTAAAGACAGGCACTAGGACCTCAGGGACTAATGACGCCACGAAAAGGAGGAGGACGCACAGCGAACTGCAGACCGTACCCCCTCGTCACCGCCCTCATCACCCATAGTGAAACTTGGCTTGTGCGACTGGGTGACTGGCATTATTTTAATGTGTGTTGAGGCTGTGACACACACACACACACACACACACACACACACACACACACACACACACACACACACACACACTTACTCTGAGATGTGGACAAAGATGTCGCTGCCTCCGTCGGCTGGTGTGATGAAGCCGTGTCCTTTAGTGCGAGAGAAACACTTACATACGCCGCTGAACGATGGACCCTCCGCTGCACGTGCCGCCCTAAACACACACATACACACACACACAAAACAGGCACACACACACATAAAACAGGCACACACACAATAAAAGGCAGGCAACATGTTAAAAAGGAAAGATGACTGCAACACGCATCAGATTATTCATTATAACCAGGATTTATTTGATTTATTTCGTTTTTTCCATTCTCCATTGTAACCACATCACAAATAATTGAACACACACACAACATGAGCAGATTAACTTGGTCAAAACATTTATTTATTAAAGACGATCAGAAAGAATGTTGGTACTTATTTATTTTGATCCAAAGCCAGGAATGAGTGAGTCACTCAGCTTTATGCTAATATATTAAATAGCCTATTAAATAGGCCAAGCCTAAAGGAATATATTAAATAGCCTATTAAATAGGCCAAGCCTAAAGGAATATATTAAATAGCCTATTAAATAGGCCAAGCCTAAAGGAATATATTAAATAGCCTATTAAATAGGCCAAGCCTAAAGGAATATATTAAATAGCCTATTAAATAGGCCAAGCCTAAAGGAATATATTAAATAGCCTATTAAATAGGCCAAGCCTAAAGGAATATATTAAATAGCCTATTAAATAGGCCAAGCCTAAAGGAATATATTAAATAGCCTATTAAATAGGCCAAGCCTAAAGGAATATATTAAATAGCCTATTAAATAGGCCAAGCCTAAAGGAATATATTAAATAGCCTATTAAATAGGCCAAGCCTAAAGGAATATATTAAATAGCCTATTAAATAGGCCAAGCCTAAAGGAATATATTAAAATGCCTAAATAAACTAGTACATTTCATAAATACAGGAAGTAGCTCAGGTCTTGAAAATATGGGCAACCTTTCACCCTTCCCTCTCCTCGCTGGACTCTTTCATTCAGTTTCTTCTTCACATCAGCAAAGAAGGACTCCGTGTTTCACAAACTCACTTTATATAGAGGGGCTTATCACTCTTTCACACTGTGGTAAATAAAGCCAGTTTGTTATTTAGAATGATTTATTTCTGTTTTTAGAGGGAGAGGAACCAAAAGCCCTCTGTGCTTATTTTTCCAAATTCGTCGGTCCACATGACAAGTGTAATTGCGCCATTGTATTTACCCAAGTTCTCTCTCAACTCCGGGACCACCCGCCAGGTATTTTGTTGTTGTTGCCTGATGCAGGACTCTAGTGCCATTGAAGAGAGACTCGGACTGAAACATTCACACTTCCATTAACTTACACAAGGATAGTCTAATACGAGGATCATCAACTAGATTCAGCCGCGGGCCGATTATTTCTTGAGTGGATGGTCAGCGGGGCCGGAACATAATTACATATAATTTGTAGACTGCAAATTGACCGCAAGAAGCCGAAATATGGTATCTTAAATTCAAATCATTTGGAGCTGATTTCCTGGTGTTCTTTTATAGTCTTTTATGTCCAACAATGAAAATTCAACAACACTTTTTTTTTTTTTTTTTTTTTGCTTAGTACTTGCAGGGGGTGGTGCAAATAAAACCACCCGTGGGCCAAATTCTGCCCGCGGGCCGCCAGTTGGGGAACCCTGGTCTAATAGCTCGGCTAGGTGTGAAAAATCCCCCAATTTGTGCCACAGTTTAGACTACCGATAGATCAGCGTTCTAACTCCCCCTTGTGAGAGTGTGGTGCAATGACAGAATGACGCAATTTACCACAATCTGCCACCATCTACCACAAACGGTCACGGCATAGCTAGGCCTAAGACCCCTAGACATAATGAGTCAGGTTACAGACCAGGTAACCAGGACTAAGACCCCTAGACATAATGAGTCAGGTTACAGACCAGGTAACCAGGACTAAGACCCCTAGACATAATGAGTCAGGTTACAGACCATGTAACCAGGACTAAGACCCCTAGACATAATGAGTCAGGTTACAGACCATGTAACCAGGACTAAGACCCCTAGACATAATGAGTCAGGTTACAGACCAGGTAACCAGGACTAAGACCCCTAGACATAATGAGTCAGGTTACAGACCATGTAACCAGGACTAAGACCCCTAGTCATAATGAGTCAGGTTACAGACCATGTAACCAGGACTAAGACCCCTAGACATAATGAGTCAGGTTACAGACCATGTAACCAGGACTAAGACCCCCTAGACATAATGAGTCAGGTTACAGACCATGTAACCAGGACTAAGACCCCCTAGACATAATGAGTCAGGTTACAGACCAGGTAACCAGGACTAAGACCCCCTAGACATAACGCGTGCAACAATATCAGCAGGCTAGTTAAGCGGTTTCATAACTGTTGCATTAAAACAAGTTTAACTAGGTGTGTGTGTGTGTGTGTGTGTGTGTGTGTGTGTACAGCCTATGCGTGTGTGTATGAACATCTGTGTGTACAGGCTGAATGTATTTACGTGTGTGTGTGTGTGTGTGTGTGTGTGTGTGTGTGTGTGTGTGTGTGTGTGTGTGCAGTACTCACGCTGAGCAGGTCCTAGTGCGTCTGGTGGGCAGGGGGCTGGGTATGAGGTAACCTCTCATGGGGGAGGGGGGGCGGTCTGGGTGCTGGGAGCCTGGCGGGCGCAGGGACCCAGGGGACACCGGAGAGACCGGGGAGCCAGGTGACCTAGAGGTCAGGGGAGGGGTCGTAGAGCATGGGGATACTGACCCCTGGATGGGCGTGGCTTCGGAAGACATTGGGGGAGGAAGGGTAGTCGTGACAAACACCTAGAGTAGACAGACGGACGGATAGAAAGAGAAGAGGAGAAACCCAGTTAAGTCGTTATACTAATACACCTGATAATGGCATCAGCATCACAGCTCCAAATGACCCTCTAAACAGTTTACAATAGACAGGAGAGAGGAGAGAGAGGAGAGGACCCTCTAAACAGTTTACAATAGACAGGAGAGAGGAGAGAGAGGAGAGGACCCTCTAAACAGTTTACAATAGACAGGAGAGAGGAGAGAGGAGAGGACCCTCTAAACAGTTTACAATAGACAGGAGAGAGGAGAGGAGAGGACCCTCTAAACAGTTTACAATAGACAGGAGAGAGGAGAGGAGAGGACCCTCTAAACAGTTTACAATAGACAGGAGAGAGGAGAGAGGAGAGGACCCTCTAAACAGTTTACAATAGACAGGAGAGAGGAGAGAGGAGAGGACCCTCTAAACAGTTTACAATAGACAGGAGAGAGGAGAGAGAGGAGAGGACCCTCTAAACAGTTCCAATAGACAGGAGAGAGGAGAGAGAGGAAGAGGACCCTCTTAACAGTTTACAATAGACAGGAGAGAGGAGAGAGAGAAGAGGGACCCTCTAACAGTTACACCTAGACAGGAGAGAGGAGGAGAGAAAGCGGGACCCTCTAAAAACAGTTTACACTAGAAGGAGAGAGGAGAGGACCCTCTAAACAGTGTTACAAATAAGACAGGGATATAGGAGAGAGAGGTAGAGGGACCCTCTAAAACAGTTTTACAATAGACCGGAGAGAGGAGAGAGAAGGAGAGGACCCTCTAAACAGTTTTACAATAGACCGGCAGAGAGGAGTCAGACCCTCTAAACAGTTTACAAATAGGAAACGGAGAGAGGAGAGGACCCTCTAAACAGTTTACACAATAGACAGGAGAGAGGGAGAGAGAGAAGAGGACCCTCTAAACAGTTTACAATAGACAGGAGAGAGGAGAGGTGGATGTCGTGACTACAGAGAATAATAAGAGATAGGGAGGGAGGGAGGGTTGTATCATTTTTGTCTTTCCCTCCTAACTCTCTCTCTTAGCCCATCCATCTCTTTCATTTCCTGTTCCACTGTCTAGGATATTTATTTTGTCTGTCATTTCTTCTCTAGCCTGGGTACCAGTCTGTTTCTTCTCTAGCCTGGGTACCAGTCTGTTTCTTCTCTAGCCTGGGTACCAGTCTGTTTGTGCCATCATGCCACTGTTTGATATGACAAGAAGTATTAGCATGATACACAAACAGATCTGGGACGTGACCAGGCTATTTCCACTCTCCTATGATAGATCAGTAGATCTGGGACCAGGCTATTTCCACTCTCCTATGATAGATCAGTAGATCTGGGACCAGGCTATTTCTTCCCTAGACTCAAACTGAAAACTGTCACTCAGCTACTTAGGCACTAGCCTGACTGCATACACACCCACACCCACTCCAAACCCTGGCTGTCCAATCAGTGCCTTCCCTAGGACATTCTAAGAACCCTCTTCACCATGGCAACACGGGCGGCAGGTAGCTTAGTGGGTAAGAGCGTTGTGCCAGTAACCGAAAGGTCGCTGGTTCTAATCCCCGAGCCGACTAGGTGAAAAATCTGTCGATGTGCCCTTGAGCAAGGCACTTAACCCTAATTGCTTCTGTAAGTCGCTCTGGATAAGAGCGTCTGCTAAATGACTAAAATGTAAATGTAAACACCAATCAGAGAGCTGCCAGGTTCTAGCCCATGGGGCCTGTTCAGGAGGGTTTAACGTTACAGAACGTTCAGATATAAATGCAACGTGTAGAACACATTTTATATCTGCCATTCAGCAGACGCTTTTATCCAAAGCAACTTAGCCATGCGTGCCTACATTTCACATATGGGTGGTCCCGGGAATCGAACCCAATATCCTGGCGTTGCAAGCGTCATGCTCTACCAACCGAGCTCCAGAGGATCACATTTAGTATTTATTTTATTGTTGTATTACATTTAGTATTATTGTATCTTTTAATGTATTGATGTACACCCCTTTCAAATGAGTGGATTCGGCTATTTCAGCCACACCCGTTTCTGACAGGTGTATAAAATCGAGCACGCCGCCATGCAATCTCCATAGACAAACATTGGCAGTAGAATGGCCTTACTGAAGAGCTCAGTGACTTTCAACGTGGCACCGTCATAGGATGGCTCCTGAGTGGCGCAGTGGTCTAAGGCACTGCATCGCAGTGCTAACTGTGCCACTAGATCCTGGTTCGAATCCAGGCTCTGTCGCAGCTGGCCGCGACCGGGAGACTCATGGGCGGCGCACAATTGGCCCAGCGTTGTCCAGGGTAGGGGAGGGAATGGCCGGCAGGGATGTAGCTCAGTTGATAGAGCATGGCGTTTGCAACGCCAGGGTTGTGGGTTCGATTCCCACGGGGGGCCAGTATAAAAAAAATATATGTATTCACTAACTGTAAGTCGCTCTGGATAAGAGCGTCTGCTAAATGACTAAAATGTAAAATGTAATGCCACCTTTCCAACAAATCAGTTAGTCAAATTTCTGCCCTGCTAGAGCTGCCCCGGTCAACTGTAAGTGCTGTTATTGTGAAGTGGAAATGTTTAGGAGCAACAAGGGCTCAGCCGTGAAGTTGTAGGCCACACAAGCTCACAGAACGGAACCGCTGAAGTGAGTAAAAATCATCTGTCCTCGGTTGCAACACTCACTACCGAGTTCCAAACTGGCCTCTGGAAGCAACGTCAGCACAAGAACTGTTCGTCGGGAGCTTCATGAAATGAGTTTCCATGGCCGAGCAGCCGCACACAAGCCTAAGATCACCATGCTTAATGCCAAGTGTCGGCTGGAGTGGTGTAAAGCTCGCCGACTGGAGTAGTGGAAACGCGTTCTCTGGAGTGATGAATCACGCTTCACCATCTGGCAGTCCAATGGACAAATCTGGGTTTGGCGGATACCAGGAGAACGCTACCTGCCCCAATGCATAGTGCCAACTGTAAAGTTTGGTGGAGGAGGAATAATGGTCTGGGGCTGTTTTTCATGGTTCAGGCTCCTTAGTTCCAGTGAAGGGAAATCTTAACGCTACAGCATACAATTACATTCTAGACGATTTTGTGCTTCCAATTTTGTGGCAACAGTTTGGGGAAGGCTCTTTCCTCTTTCAGCATGACAATGCCCTGTGCACAAAGCGAGGTCCATACAGAAATGGTTTGTTGAGATCGGTGTGGAAGAACTTGACTGGCCTGCACAGAGCCCTGATCTCAACCCCATCGAACACCTTTTGGATGAACTGGAACGTCGACTGCGAGCCAGGCCTAATCCCCCAGATGGTGGAACATTACTGCGACGACCATCTTTGATCAGTAACTGTAATGTTATTACTCAAATTGGAACTGTACTCTGATATATTACTCGTTACGTTACGCGTTACACCCCCCAATACTGCTCCTGGTGACCTGGATGGAATTCTGTGATACTTTCCCCCTGATGTAGAGTCCCTGACCATCTTCCGAAAACATGTTAAACTTCAACCACTTCAAAGAGTATCTTAAATCAGACATCTCAGTCAGTCTTATTTTATTATTATTCCTCAAAACAAACGTGCACTTGTCTTTTCCTACCAGCACTAACTTTGTTGATTCACTCACACCACACACACACACACACACACCCACACCACACACACCCACACCACAAACACACACCACACAAACAGTGAGGGGACTTCCTCTACACACCAGACGGTCTGTATTTGACTGCTATCAATAACAAAACCCTGCCCTATTTTTGGGGTCTGGGTTTCCTGAAAATCCCCAAACTATTTTTGCCTTTCGTGAGGAATCACTCATATAGTGCACTACTTTTGACCAGGCTCAATAGGGAATAGGATACTATATGGTTCCCTACATAGGGAATAGGGTACTATATGGTTCCCTACATAGTGAATAGGGTACTATATGGTTCCCTACATAGTGAATAGGGTACTATATGGTTCCCTACATAGTGAATAGGGTACTATATGGTTCCCTACATAGGGAATAGAGGTACTATATGGTTCCCTACATAGTGGAATAGGGTACTATATGGTTCCCTACATAGTGAATAGGGTACTATATGGTTCCCTACATAGTGAATAGGGTACTATATGGTTCCCTACATAGTGAATAGGGTGCCACAGGGCTCTCTATATAGGGAATAGGGTGCCACAGGGCTCTCTATATAGGGAATAGGCTACTATATGGTTCCCTACATAGTGAATAGGGTACTATATGGTTCCCTACATAGTGAATAGGGTACTTATATGTTCCTACATAGTGAATAGGTTACTATATGGTTACCTACATAGTGAATAGGGGACTATATGGTTCCCTACATAGGGAATAGGGTACTATATGGTTCTCTAAATAGGGAATATGGTACTATATGGTTCCCTACATAGTGAATAGGGTACTAAATGGTTCCCTACATAGGGAATAGAGGTACTATATGGTTCCCTACATAGGGAATAGAGGTACTATATGGTTCCCTACATAGGGAATAGGGTACTATATGGTTCCCTACATAGGGAATAGGGTACTATATGGTTCTCTACATAGGGAATAGGGTACTATATGGTTCCCTACATAGGGAATAGGGTGCCACAGGGATCTCTATATAGGGAATAGGGTACCATTTGGGATACATTCCCTGTATAAACTGACACTCTTCCTCTGGCTGCAATGGAGATGGTTCCATTGAGTTCATCTGGTTGTCGTGTGTGGATATTACACACAACACACACACACACACCTGCTGACACTGGCTGGTTTCAGTAGTGATCAGACCCATGGAATATTCCACCAGAGACCAACGCTGATCTCTATACAAAGGTCTCTAACCACCCCCAAACACTACCCCAGCCTCATTGACTTCATTGTGTGTGTGTGTGTCCCCTAATAAAATAAATAAAAATATTTATATTTTTTATACACTACAATGGAAATACGTTGAAACACTTTTT